AGAGAGAGAGAGAGAGAGAGAGAGAGAGAGAGAGAGAGAGAGAGCCCTTATATCTAGATCCTTGATACCAATAGATAAAATTGCTATTGGATTTCAGATCCCCATTCTTGTTTGATTGACCTTGTTAAGCATAATGTTCTTATTCCCAACCCCCGCCCCCCACCAGTTTTCTTTAGGCATTTACCTAGTAACTGGTTTGTGGAGATGGGGTTAAAAATAAAAAGTCCTACTAAAGAACTATATGCACTACAGTGGAAAAAATGTATGGGGTTTCACGCCACTGTAGATTTCAAATATTAAGCTCAATAGTCTTGCTTGAGAAGGGTAAGTTAGCTGAATCAGTCACCAATCTTCTACTAATGTTAGTATCACAAATGGAAGCAATTATAATTGCTGGCAGAAATGAATCATTCCCAAACTAGGTCTGTGCAGTCACTTTATAATATCCATTTAGGGTGGCTTGCAGAAGCCATTCTTTAATTGAAATGGTCCCTAGAAACAGAAATCTTTTGTTTGCTGATGTCTTCAAAAAGTTAACTTTTGTGGGGGCTGGGGTTGTGGCTCAGTGGTAGAGTGCTCAGTTAGCATGCACGAGGCACTGGGTTTGATCATCAGCACTACATAAATGAAAAATAAAGATATTGTGTCACCTAAAATTTAAGATTAATATTTTTTAAGTTAACTTTCAGTTTTTATTTCAGTATATTTTGAATATACATTTACACCACACACATACACAATTTTAATTGCTGGTTCAAACTTCATAATTTCCCCCCAAAATAACATCAACTAAAACAAGCAAACAACAACAACAAAAACCCAGTCCCTAAAATATCCTTAAATAGTGCCTAACCACAAATATTAACACTAAAAACCAAGAACTCCCTGGGGAACAGGAAGCACGTGTTTTCAGTGTAATGCTGTCCAGTGTTATTCCTGGAAAGTTAGCATGGTAGTCCATTCACAAACATTTTCTTGACTGTCCACCTGTCCGGGATAGGGAGGTGATCCTATTAGGCTTTATGCACAGGAGCCCTCTCCCACTGCAGTGAGCATCCATAACAGAAGGCTGGCTCAGAGGAAGAACTGCAGTGATGCTGCGATTACAACTGTTATTATTTTTTTCCTCCTGCAATAATCCAATCTTCAACACCTGTACTGGAGTGATACAGAACAGAGATGGAAAAAGAGGCAGAAAGAAAAATTGCGGAAGGGACTGATCTTGTGTGTTAAAGGTAAGGTTGTGTGGCGTTTCAAAGTTAGGAGGTTGCAATCCCGTTGGCTAGAAGTGAACCATGGCCAGGGATCGAAAGAAGTGGGGTGTAGTGGAACTCCAACCTACTCTCCCCTCTCACCCAAACTCAGCTGCAGCCACGAATTTCAACTAGTGTGAAAACTAAACTGGCGCTTAGTGATGAGCGCCGCTGAGCGAGTCTGTTTGCTGCTGCAGAGTTCACTACTACCCAGGTGATGCTTCCCAGGGAACTGAATTCGGATGGAAGGGGCACTGAAGACTGGCGCCTGCAAAAAAAAGAATCACCCTTTTCTCTTAGCTGCGTTAGAAGCACACAGTTCACCAGTCCTGTGTGGGCAAAGGTGTATCCCTAACCCTGACCTGGAGAGTTGGCGCACTACTGTCCTGAAGAGTGCAATCCCCTCCCTGGTACCCAAGAACGCTACACGGATCCCCCTTTGTCCCCACCCCTGCCGCGCCAGCCTTCCTTTGCATCGCGCTCTCTCCTAGTCCCAGAGCATCTAGCCTACCCTCTCCCATCGCTCTGTCAGCGTCACCTCCAAGCTCCTCCACAGAACTGGTAATGGCTACTTGTACCAGAGACACAGTTTCTGCTCTTTAGCTTATTTTACATCTTTGCTTCACTTAAATGTGTGTCTCCACCCGCAAGACGCTGCAGTCCTGCAAAAGACACCCGCTCCTGCAGAGCCTCGCGCAGCCCTGGGTGCTCAAAGCCAGGCACCGGGAAAGGCCTGTCTCGAGACCACATGGCACGCCCCGATCGCAGGTTATTTCAACGTCTGGGCGACGGCACCCGGATCTGAAGTATTAGGGTGCCTCCAGCACCGACGTGTTTTCTTCCCCAGCTGAGGAGAGACCGTGGGTGGAAAATCCTCTGCAGCAAGGGGGTTGGGGGCGCCATCACTTGTTGCGACCAATAAACGGTGCTCGATCCCGGAGAGCTGCTGTTTCTAAAATCATCTTAAACTGTGTTTGGGATTCCCCCAATCCGCGCCCCTCGGCTTGGCCGCTTTTAGGACAGAAGAGGGAACCGCGCACCAGAGTGGGCCGAGTGGGCACTGATGCCCGAGGGGCGCGGGTCTGTCCCGCCCTGTGGCAGCCGCCCGGCTTCCCTCGTTGAGCCTCTCTCCTGACCGGGAACTCGCGCGGGATACAGCCCATTGCGGCTCGTCACCGACTTACACATCGCTGTCGCTAGGATTCCCGCCACTCCTCTCAAACCGCCCCCCCTCGCACCCTGCCACTTTTCGGAGTCCCCCGCCCCCGCTACTGCCTCCCCGGAGCTGCGGGGCAGTTGGACGCGGAGCCGCTGAGCCGCGAGGACGCCCGGCTGGAGCTGCCCTCTGCACCCGAGCCAAAGCTCCCTGCCTTTTGCCGCGGCGCTGGGCGGGCGCCCCCGCCGCCCTCGCTCGGCTCCCGCACCTCCGGGAGCTCAGCCGCCGCCCGGTGCTGCGGGGCCGGCGCGATGCGGCAGCTGTGCCGGGGCCGCGTGCTGGGCATCTCGGTGGCCATCGCGCACGGTGTATTCTCGGGCTCCCTCAACATCCTGCTCAAGTTCCTCATCAGCCGCTACCAGTTCTCCTTCCTGACCCTGGTGCAGTGCCTGACCAGCTCCACAGCGGCGCTGAGCCTGGAGCTGCTGCGGCGCCTTGGGCTCATCGCTGTGCCCCCCTTCGGCCTGAGCCTGGCGCGCTCCTTCGCGGGGGTCGCAGTGCTCTCCACACTGCAGTCGAGTCTCACGCTCTGGTCCCTGCGCGGTCTCAGCTTGCCCATGTACGTGGTCTTCAAGCGCTGCCTGCCCCTGGTCACCATGCTCATCGGCGTTCTGGTGCTCAAGAACGGCGCACCCTCGCCGGGGGTGCTCACGGCCGTGCTCATCACCACCTGCGGCGCCGCCCTGGCAGGTGAGCGGGACCCGTGCCAACCCCCAGCCCACCCCAACCCGCCCCGCAGAGACGGCGGGGACCACTTAGTGCAACGCCCTCGCTTCCAGATGGGGAGACTGAGGCAGAGAGAGGCGGAGAGCTTTGAGAATGGTTGTTCGACTCGCAAAAGGGACTTTCTTCTGAGACCCAGCGGAGCCTTTCCCAGCCAGCGCTCTGTCCTCCTCCCTCGGGGTCTCCCACCCGGTGTCTGGGCTTCCGACCCCTGCCCGGGTTTCACCGCGTATCGCCCTTCCCCTGGATCCCTTCCACCGTGAGGGATGGGGGAGCCGCCTGAACCCGAGCCGGAGTCCAACCCTAGACTGAGCCGGAAGGAGGGGGTCGTGAACTTCCTTGGGTCACGCGGGCTGGAATGGGGGAGGGATGGCAGCGAAACTTGGGATCCTGGGGTTGGTTTGGGGTGGCGGGGCTGCTGGTGCGGGGCCGAGGGGGCCCACCTGGGACCCAGGTGCGGGCGGGGTTTAGGAGACAGAGCAACATACGAACCGAACCGAGGAGGGTCAGGAGGGAGGCGATTTTCGCCCAGCGCCTGGCACACTCGGTTAGAGGTCACTAGCCGGTGCAACCTCTCCATTCTGGTCGCAAAGGGGTTGGGGGTAGAGGTACAATGTACCTGGATGACCTCGGCGTCAGCTCAGGGAAGCCACAAGTATCTACCCTGAGAACATCTGCGCTCTCGGTGGCCTTTGTCAGAGGGGTGACCCGGAGACCTGTCAGGGAAGATGCCTCTCCTTATGCATCGCACAGGAGCTGGCTGTCGCATTTTGGCCAGGCAGCCGAGGCACGGTGGGCATCCATATAGGCACTCGGGAAATCGGTGCGCAGAGCTTGAGTATTAACTCCGTCTATTTTCCGACCCGACGCGTTGCCCATTGGATACCCACCCGCGCCAACCCGGTGTCTTCTCTCTCTTTCCTTCCTGCGCTGGCTTTGCCATCCTCTTGGTGCGCTACAGGAGCGGGCGACCTGACTGGAGACCCCATCGGGTATGTAACGGGTGTGCTAGCGGTGCTAGTGCACGCCGCCTACCTGGTGCTCATCCAGAAGGCGAGCGCCGACACCGATCACGGGCCGCTCACCGCGCAGTATGTCATCGCCGTCTCTGCCACGCCACTGCTGGTGGTCTGCTCTTTCGCCAGCACTGACTCCATCCACGCCTGGGCCTTTCCTGGCTGGAAGGACCCCGCCATGGTCTGCATCTTCGTGGCCTGCATACTGATCGGCTGCGCCATGAACTTCACCACTCTACACTGTACCTACATCAACTCAGCCGTGACCACCAGCTTCGTGGGCGTGGTGAAAAGCATCGCCACCATCACGGTGGGCATGGTGGCTTTCAGCGATGTGGAGCCCACCTCTCTGTTCATTGCCGGTGTCGTGGTAAACACCCTGGGCTCCATCATTTACTGTGTGGCCAAATTCATGGAGACCAGAAGGCAAAGCAACTATGAGGACCTGGAGTCGCAGCCCGAGGGAGAGGAAACGCAGCCAAGTGGAGACCAGCTGCCTTTCGTGATGGAAGAGCTTCCCGGGGAGGGTAGAAATGGGGGGACCCAGGGTGGGGAGGAAGCAGGTGGCTCCACTCAGCAGAGTGGACCAGAGTTGAGGGGCAGCCCCCGAGGGGGCGTCCCACTGGTGGCTAGGAGCTCAAAGATCTCAGACACCTCTGAAGAAGGGAGTAAAAGGTCCTTAAAGGATGCTTACCTGGAAGTGTGGAGGTTAGTTAGGGGAACCAAGTATATGAAGAAGGATTATTTGATAGAAAATGAGGAGTTACCCAGTCCTTGAGAAGGACATGCACGTATGTACACATGTACATACAGCTATTTTATATGTTAGAAATAATATATTTTAATGAGGGGCCTCCCAGCTTTATTCTTTAAGGAGTGGTTAAGGAAAGCAAAGGAAGAAGCTCAAAGGACCTATAGCAACAAAATTAGCACTTATGTGAATTATTTAGCATGACTGAGGCATCACAGAGAAAAAACATGTGAAGGTGCTTAACAAAGTGAAACAGCACTTTCAGCTTCAAACTCCTGGCACACTTAGTTATTTATTTTTGTCTTTATAACCATAACCAAAAATCTGCATGTATCAAGAATCCCTCAACACCCTCTCCAAAGATGGAGCGTAGAAATGATGACAGCACTTACTGAGTTCAAAGATTATATTCAGGGGCACACTTTTGGTGATAAGACTAGTTTCTATTATCAGCTAGGCAGAGTATAGTGTTAAAAGGACAATGTAAATACACTAGATTGATGTTTACTGTTTAGAGTCATCTGAAGTATTATGTTTACTCTAATTTTTCTTCACTGGTTTTAAAAAATTAGTATTCTAATGTTCTATTAAATATTAGTGGAAAATGTTGAAGCTATTTTGAAACTGAGTTCTTAGCTTTATAATTATGAAGTCTAGCAATTATAAAAATATTTAAAATGTTGTTTTGACTCCTGGCTTTATAGTATTTATTCTTGAATGCCACAACCTTTTTAAAAGCCAGTTTTACTGTGTAATATTTTTTCAAGCAAATGCAATGGCTGATATTAAAATACATTTTTGCCTGTAGCCCAGTCAGAAGAGAGACCACGGGTTAAGGCCATCCAAGTTGCACTGCATATCCCAAATCATGTTACAAAAAGAGCAACTGCTATATTCACATTATGGTATTTTTCTATCTTAAATTTGTCAAAATAAAGTATGAGTCTGTATGTTAAAAGATAATATTGTTAGAAATTTGTTTTAGACACACTCATGCTCTCTTGTTGCTGTATAGTCTGTGTTTGCCTATGATGTGTGGGTGTAGTATCTGGTGGGTGGGTGACAGCCCATTGGGAACTCTCTAAATTAACATGGCAGTTTGGCTTAAAACAAAAACAGAAACATTTTTTTCTAGTGAGGGAAACTATGATAAAGTAAACAAATGTCTCATGCTGAGATATGAAAGTCATTCATGCCAGCCTTCAGTTCACAAGGAGTTTGAGAGAATGAATAGTAGCATCCACCTGTGAAGAGGCCTTCTGTCAACTCCTGTAGGCAAGGTACTTGACAGTGAGGGCACTCTTATTCACAAGGCTATTTCTGAGGCTCTCAAGACTATGCTGGTTTATGTTTTTCTTCCTTTTCCAAACATAACAATAAAATAAAAAGCAGAAGCCAAAAATGAAGTTCTGGGTCCATCCATTTGGCTCTAGGAGTGAGCTACTGAGCAGGTGTGATTGTGGTGCTTTGGATGGATCCTGAATTACTGATTTTCACAGGGGATTCATTTTTGCTTCTGAAAGTGCCTCTACAAGTCATCGAAGATATAGGAGCCCTCATGTGGCTGCAGTTAGAAGTGGTTAGCCAGAGATAGGACTTTTTAAAAAATAAGCATCAATTTTGCTGTCAACATGCTAGAGGGCAATGTCCTGTTGCAATAGTGTGAAACTGAGAATTAATGAAAAGTGGCAAAGTCGAACAAAATATTTTTTTTTGGTTAATATCACTGTCAAATAAATGAATAGAATGATTGTTTTTCACTGAACAAAATTCCCTTTTGGTTAAAAATGTGAGTTTGCATTTATTGTAGAAAGACTCATTCTTTCCTGCCAATAAACTTGTAGAAGGTTTGTATTAGAGATTTTGAGGAATTAGTGATTATGGGGGTTAGCAAGTCTACAATCAACAAGGCAGGGAAAACTCAGGCAGAGTTTCCATGCTGCAATCTTGAGGCAAAATTCCTCTTCCTTCTGGAAACTCAGTCTTTCCCTAAAGACCTTCAATGGACTGAATGAGGCCTGTTTGCCTTATAGAGGATATATGTTTTACTGATTATAGTGCCATTTGTCAATTCTGAAATGTTAATCATATCTTTACAATGTTTTCCAGTAACATCTAGACTGCTCTTTAACCAAATAGCCTAGCCAAGTTAGCAAGTGACAGTAAATGTCATAGACACCTATGGTGGGAGGGAATAGGAGGTGGTATGTTAAGACAAACTCAGGTAGATTCACTTCAGGAATTCGTCACATGTTTTTATCTGGGCAAAACTTGGGGGTCTCTGCATAGAGAAAGTAAATTAAATGGCAGGCAGTGAGTTGGTGCCTGGGGTTTGACCACAGAACACTTGAGTGGGTAGCAGGCCTTACCTGGCTTCTGAGTCATTCCTCCATTCTCAGAGCACAGGAGTTCATCAAAAGACTTAGGTGCAGCCTAAGCTCTATGCTCTGGTGAGGCCAGAAGGAGGGCATCACTCTGATGAGACCCCACTGGAAGTCACTCACCATTGTTGCTTGGCTGGCCCAGTCTTTGTGCCCCATTTCTGGCTACTTAGAGTCTCCCTTGTTTCTGATGTGACACTCACACCTTGTACCTAACTGGGTCCCTGTCTTGAAGTCTGTTTCTACATCAGTTCTTCAGGATGGGGAGGCTCTGCCTCATGTTTATCTGTGACTTTTTACCTGGAATGGGTTTCTGAAACAGCTTGCTGTTAGACCAGACTTCTCAGTGCTGGTCCTGCTGTTGATCCTCTCCCTCTGAAGGTTATCTAGCACAGATCAATCAGAAACATTGGGACAATGATTTCCCAGAATGGCACAGATGAGAGGGTGTGTGCATGTTATTGGAGGCTGCTGAGCAGAGCTGAGCAATGACTGAAACTCCTACAAGACCAGCCGTCACTCATTGTCATAGGGTCTAATTCTCTAAGTGATTAATAGCAATACTCATGAAGATAAAACTGGGTGAAACTCACAAGTTCTTAATTAACTAAAGACTTTTTTACATTAGAGTTTGGGAGTTTTTTTTGTTTTGTTTTTTTGTACTGGGAATTAAACCATGGAGCCACATCCCTAGCCTATTTTTATTTTGTATTTTGAGACAGAATCAAACTAAGTTACTGAGGCTGGCTTTGAACTTACAATCCTCCTGCCTCAGCTCCTGAGCCACTGGGATTACAGGCATGTGCCACCATGCCCAGCTCAGTTGATAATTTTTATGGCCCTATCTTCAATTCACTGATTTCTTTCTTGGCTATGTTCAGTGTGCTGATGAGCCCATCAAAGGGACTCTTCATTTCTATCACACTAGTTTTTGTTTTTGTTTTTTAACTTCTAGCATCTCCTTTTGATTCTTATATTTTCTATCACTCTGCTTATATTATCCACCTGCTTTTTGCATGAAAGCCCACAAAATATTAGTCAGACTTATTTAAAATTCCCTGTCAGATAATTTCAAAACCCAAATCATATCCAAGTCTGGCTTTAATGTTTGCTTTGTCTCTTAGACATTGTTTTCCCTTGCCATTCAGCATGTCTAATAGTTTTGTTGTTGTCAAAAGCCAGATGATAGGCTGGATAATAGGAACTGAGGCAAAGAGTGTGAGGTATCATGTTAGTGTGGCTAGAAACTAGACTCTGGTTAATGCTAGAGGTGAATGTAGATGCTGAAGACTTCACATTCCTCCAACATCCATGTTTTATCTTTCCACTCTTTCAGCTTCAATCCAGTCATCACACAGGAACCCTGCTGGTATGATGACAAGGTTGGGAGAGTGTTCTGTGAGCTTTAAAAATATATTTTTAAATGACATATAATATGTTGTACATATTTATGGGGTATGATGTGATAATTCAACACATGTAGAAAATGTGTAATGATCACATCAGGGTAATTAGCATTTCTATCTCCTTCTCCTTAAACACTTATCATTTCTTTGGTCAATAAACTTAAAACTCCTCTCTTTTCTTCTAGGTTTTTTTTTTTTTTTTTTTTTTTTTTTTTTTTTTTTTTTTTTGTACCAGGAATCAAACCCAGGGATTTGTGACTTTTGTAGTATTGAGGATCAAACCCAGGGATTTGTGACTTCTGTAGTACTGGGGATCAAACCCAGGGATTTGTGACTTCTGTAGTACTGGGGATCAAACCCAGGGATTTGTGACTTTTGTAGTACTGGGGATCAAACCCAGGGATTTGTGATTTGTGCATGATAGGGCAAGTGCTCTACCACTGAGCTTTCCCCCATCTGCTTGGTCCTGCTCCTAGGATAAAATGGCAGGGTTCAGAAGAGAATCTGTGAGCAAAATAGAATACAACAGGATAGCAGGACACACAACCAGCAAACTAGAAAACCCAGATCCCTCCTGGGAACTATCCCCTTCCTTCTTTGAACTCATGTGGTTCAGATGGATTTCAACTTCATGCTCCGCCCTCAGGAGGTGACTCTAGACAATCCAACCAAAGCATTTCCTCCACTTGGCAAACAAGATTAGTTCAGGGCTGATCATGAGACCTAGAGAGAGTCAAAGTGATGCAAGGAAGCTTTTGGCAAGAATTAAGTTGTATGTATTTTTTTTCTTACTGGACTTGAATCTTGGAGGTTGGAGTAGGGTAGAGCAAAAGTGTTTTCATCAGCTTACCAACTGGAAAAGATATAACAGAAAGGTAACAGCACAGAGAGGTGGACCAGGAGAGGAGGAGGAAGAAAGGAAGGATGAGGAAAAGACTGACACTAAGTTCTGCTTATCTTACTTGGCCCTAGTATTAAGTTAACTTTCACCTTAAGATCACACTATCAAAAAAAAAAAAATCATACCATCCCTTAGACTGTCAGTTACATTTAAAAAAAAAAAGACAAAGCGTTTTTTGTTTTGTTTTGTTTTGTTTTGTTTTTGTAGTTGTTGTTGCTATTTGCTTAAGCCATTTTGAGTTGAGATTTCTGGCCCTTGCAAACCAAAGAGTTCTAAGTATTACAAATGTAAATTAATGACTCCCATTTCACAGGGAAGGGAAGACCAAGAGGGTTTTTATTTGTTTTTTGGGGTTTTGATTTTTCACCACACAATCTGGCTCTAATCCCTTGTGTCCATCTAGGGATTAGAAGGTATAATTCCCTGGTCCCTTGAAAATTACTGTCTGACATGTATCATGCATGCTCTTAAGGAGTCTGTGGTTTTATTTACTGTCTTGTCTTCGTTTTATGATTCTGTAGACTCCTATGGTCAGTCATGCTTTATGAATTTATTGGAGTGTAAGGAGTGCTGTGTCTTGCACACTGCTGTGAATAATAGTGCCTAATGCTTATTATTATTGTGTCTGATACTTTCTATGTTCAGGTCTCAGTGTTTCACATGAACTAATTCATTTAACCCTCACAGCATTACTGTAGGTTATACAAGGGGTAAACTGAAGCATGGGTAAGCTAAGTCTCTTGCCCTATGACTTAGTCAGGAACATGCATTCTGGAATTTGATTTGAACCCAGGTTGCTTGACTACAAAACTCAAATGTTACACCGCTCTGCTGCTCTGCCCCTCCACGAGAAGTGTTCAATCTCACAGGATAAAGCTGGACAAGGTGGTAGTGGTGGTTGGCTGTTCCAAGGCTGGTTCGCTGTGTCACTTGATGAAGATCCTAGCTTTCTCTGATTCCTTTCTGTTTTCCTCAGAAGCAGGGAGGGTCAGAGTGTGTGTGTGTGTGTGTGTGTGTGTGTGTGTGTGAACACTTCTCTGTGAGAACTAAGAGACCAAGAGTATACTTGAGATACATGAAAAATAGAGTAGAAGAAGAGGCTGAAGTTCCACTGTAACCTACTTGTCCCCAAGCTATCCAACTTCTTGGGTCAATCTTTCCTTTAATATTCAAACAAAATGACTTTCTCCTTTGCCTTTTCTCCTAGTATTCCTAAAGATTTTTTTAAGTATCCTCTCTCTCCCAACCCCCCACTGCTCAAGACAATTCGTTATTCCCGCTCTGGGCTCTGTGCTGATCTCATTTTTAAAAACAGCTTTATAATATAATTAATGTTATTGAGATATAAGTCAGATACCACAAAATTTGCTCATTTTAAGTGTGCAGTTACTGGTCTTCAGCATATTTACAGAACTGAACCACCATCACCACTGTCTCATTTTAGAACATTTCCGTCACCCCATAAACAAACAAACAAACAAACAAAAAAACCAAACAAACCCTGAGACTCTGTGACGTTGCCCAGAGCTAGAAGTCTGGCTGTGGCAGCCTTGTCTGGGTCTTGCCTGCTGTCTGCCTCCAGTCTGCATAGACACGTCCCTTTTCATGGTTTCCTCCTCTAGTCCTCAGTTCTTTCCCCTGCCATGCAGTCAGCGTCTCACACTCATTGACCCTGTTGACATTCCGGAATGGACCATAGAACTTTCTGAGGAGGAGTAGAAGTGCTTGGACTCTGCTCAGAGGGCTTTGTACAGGACAATGATATTGGAGAACAACTGGGACCTGGATTCCCTAGGAATATGGTCTGCCTAGGAATATTGTCTCCATGTTGGAGCAAGGAAGGGAGCTCTAAACTGTGGGTGACCATGTGGAAATATCAAGAAAACCAAAGGGGTGGAAATGTATCGCATATGTGAACACAGATACAGACACCTCATCACAATATTTTTGAGAGGAGAGCCCCTTGCAGTTGTCACTGTGTGATGTGTCCCCATCCAACCCTCCCGTCTTTTCCTAGTCCTGCATTTCAGAACTGCCTGACACATGGTGCTCACAGCTATCACGTCTAAATTCTCTTGGGAGTGTCTAGTGAAGCCCATGGAAGTACTTGCATGGCCATAGCAAATCACTACTTTTTTCCTGAAGTTTTGATAGCTATGTATACCTGGT